AATTCTCTCTTTCATTGATGTTTCTAACTCTCTCTTCCTCTCCCTTCCTCTCTCTGAAATCAGTAAAATAGGTAAATAAATAAAATGGAGATAAGATGCATCTCAGAGGCTTTCCTGGCATTTCAATAAAGATTAAATGAGAACCAGTGCCTGTCACATAGTAAATGTTTCAGTAACTATTATTATTACTGTTATATTTATTACTTTCAAGATCACTTGGTCAGTCAGAAAAAACCCCCCACATATTTTTCTTTTTTTCCTCTTCCCCAGTAGTTTCTTCTGTTCCTTTTTTCTTCTTGTCATATGTCAGGTGAACTCCTATAGTCAAACTCAGATTATTATTTTTTATTTATTTTTTAAAATAAAGTATTTCTACCATTGTGGTTCTTTTAAATTTTTATTTTATTTATTTTATATTTTTATTGACTTTACAGAAAGGAAGAGAGAGGTAGAAACATTGATGAGAGAGAGACATTGATCAGCTGCATACCCCCTCCTGGGGATTGAGCCTGAAACCAAGGTACATGCCCTTGACAGGAATCAAACCCAGGACCCTTCAGTCCACGGGCCAATGCTCTATCCACAGAGCCATAGCGGTTAGGGCAGATTATTATTATTATTGTTTTTTTTACTTTAAAATATTTTTGGAATAGGTAATATATTTCCATGGTTCAAAATTCAGGTTTCTGTCCTATCCTTGTCTCCCAACCATTAAGTTTCCTTCCCCAGAGGCAATCAGGAAACCTCAATACAAACATTTTTTTTCCTGTAAACACTTTTCTAATTCTTGCCTGCACATCCCACTCCTGTAGCAAGGATTAATCACTTCCTCCTCCTTTGCTGGTACTCTGTTTTTTTTGTTTGTTTGTTTGTTTTGTTTTTTAACTTAGTAGGCTGTATTCATTGAGCAGTGCTTATTTGTCTAGAACCAGAGGATGCAAGAGTGTTTAAAATAGGCAAGAGCTGCCCTGGTTGGTGTTGCTCAGTGGTTAGAGTGTCGGCCCTCACATGGAAGGGTCATGGGTTTGATTCCCAGTCAAGCCCACTTACCTGGGTTGTGGGTTTGATCCCCAGTCAGGGTGCATGCGGGAGGCAATCAACAATCAATGTTTGTCTTTCTCTTTCTCTTCTCCCTCCCCCTCTTTCTCAAATCAATAAAAACATGTTTTAAAACAAGCAACAGGAATCAAACCCAGGACCCTTCAGTCCACGGGCCAATGCTCTATCCACAGAGCCATAGCGGTTAGGGCAGATTATTATTATTATTGTTTTTTTTACTTTAAAATATTTTTGGAATAGGTAATATATTTCCATGGTTCAAAATTCAGGTTTCTGTCCTATCCTTGTCTCCCAACCATTAAGTTTCCTTCCCCAGAGGCAATCAGGAAACCTCAATACAAACATTTTTTTTCCTGTAAACACTTTTCTAATTCTTGCCTGCACATCCCACTCCTGTAGCAAGGATTAATCACTTCCTCCTCCTTTGCTGGTACTCTGTTTTTTTTGTTTGTTTGTTTGTTTTGTTTTTTAACTTAGTAGGCTGTATTCATTGAGCAGTGCTTATTTGTCTAGAACCAGAGGATGCAAGAGTGTTTAAAATAGGCAAGAGCTGCCCTGGTTGGTGTTGCTCAGTGGTTAGAGTGTCGGCCCTCACATGGAAGGGTCATGGGTTTGATTCCCAGTCAAGCCCACTTACCTGGGTTGTGGGTTTGATCCCCAGTCAGGGTGCATGCGGGAGGCAATCAACAATCAATGTTTGTCTTTCTCTTTCTCTTCTCCCTCCCCCTCTTTCTCAAATCAATAAAAACATGTTTTAAAACAAGCAAGATTCCTGTTCTCAAGGAGCTTATAGTATGGTGGGGAAGATACTAAATAAGTAATCACATAAATTGGAATGTCAGGAAATGATAATGCTGTGTAGAAAATAGAGTAATATATAGAGAAAAATGTTTGTGTCGGGCGGGGTGGGGGCAAGTAAGAAAGCTGTCAGTATTAAATAGAGTGGTCAGGTAGGTGATATGTGACACTCAAACCATAAGGAATTAGCCACAGGAAGACCTGAGGAAGAACATTTCAGGTAGAAGAAACACAAGTGCAGAGGCCCTACCATGGGGATAAGTACTAGAAAGAACACTATCTATAATAATAAAAGTGTAATATGCTAATTAGATCAGACGTCCTTCCGGACGAAGCCGGGGCTGCGAGGGAAGCCCGGGTGCCAGAGGGAAGCCAGTGCTGACAGCTGGGGAAAGGAAGGCTGACTCTTGCATGAATTTCATGCATTGGGCCTCTAGTAACAACATAAGTGAGAATGTGAGTGAAAGGAGATGAGATGTTCTCATGATCAGTGGCTGTGGAGGACAGTCACTGATTACTTAGCCTGGTTGGTGGCATCCTATATAATAAAAGCTAAGTGTCCGACCGTTCGCTGTTCAACCAGTCCCTATGATGAGCACTGACCACCATGGGGCAGACGCTCTGACTGGTAGGTTAGCTTGCTGCTGGGGTCCAGCTGATCAGGACTGGGTGAGTTGGACCGGACACGCCCTGGAGCCCTCCTGCGGTCCCTCCCCGGCCCTGATTGTGCACCAGTGGGGTCCCTCGGCCTGGCCTGTCCCCTCTCACAATCTGGGAACCCTCGGGGGATGTCGGAGAACCGGTTTCGCACGGGTGGATGAGTCCGTGCACCAGGCTTCCAGTCTATCTACACTAATAAAAGAGAAAGATGCAAATTGACCGTACCTTCGCAATGCCCACCAGCCAGTCAGGAGTGAGTATGCAAATTAACCTCATCACCTCCGTGGAGACTGACAGCAGGGAGGAGGCAGCTCCCAGCACGGCTTGGCCTGCTTGGCCGTCGCCACAGCGACCTGGGAGCAGGCAAACGTGGTCCACAGGCAGTTCCCAGCATGGCTTGCGGCAACCTGGGAGCAGGCAAGCCCCACTGGTAGGCAGCTCCCAGCACGGCCTACTTGGCCATCGCCATGGCGACCTGGGAGCAGGCAAGCGCGCCCGCAGGCAGCTCCCAGGCAAGCAGCTCCCAGCACGGCCTGTGGCAACGCAGGAGCAGGGAAGCACAGCTGCAGGCAGCTCCCAGCATGGCCTGCTTGGCTGTCGCCAGGGCGACCGGGGAGCAGGGAAGCCCGGCCTGCAGGCAGCTCCCAGCACGGTTTGCTTGGCCGTTGCCTCGGCGACTGGGGAGCAGGCAAGTGCTGCCCGCAGGTAGCTCCCAGCATGGCCCGCGGCAACCTGGGAGCAGGGAAGCAGCCCACAAGGCAGCACCCAGCATGGCCTGCTTGGCATTCGCTGCGGTGTGGAGCAGGCAGGCCCTGCAGAGAGCAGAGAACCACAGGGAGCGGGCCTAAGCCGTCAGTAGGACATCCTCTGAGGGCTCCCGGATTGGGGAGGGTGCAGGTCAGGCTGAGGAACACACACACACGCACGCACACACACACGCACGCACACACGCACGCACGCATCTTGCCCCGTGCACGAATTTCATGCACTGGGCCTCTAGTATACATATATGAAAGCCTAATATGCAAAGTGTCACCTAGGGAGTTCGACCGACTAGGAATTCGATCGCTCACTATGACGTGTGCTGACCACCAGGGGGCGGTGCGGAACAAAGGAAGGCCCTGGCTGGCGGCTGGCAGCTGGGGGAAGGAAGGCCCTGGCTGGCAGCAGGCAGCAGGCAGCCACTAGGGACAGTACCTGTGCACGCATTTTGTGCACTGGGCCTCTAGTTTAGGAATAAAGAGGTTGCTTACACTTACATTAGACTAATAATGGAAAGACCATGATCTTTGGAGTCACACCAGAGTTTGCAACTAAGCTGAATCACTTATAAACACATTTTATGAACATTTTCCAGATCTGTAAGGTGGAGGTAATGACATCTACCTTAAGGAATTAATATGAGTTATAGCAAGTTCTGTAGACACTCAAAATAGGGTTGCTCAAAAAATAGCAGTATTTTGAGTGTGTATTTCTTGGTTCCATTCTTTTTTTTTTTTTTAAATATATTTTTATTGATTTCTGAGAGGAAGGGAGCGGGAGAGCAAGATAGAAACATCAATGATGAGAAAGAATCATTGATCAGTTGCCCCACACTGGGGATGGAGCCTGAAACCCGGGCATGTACCCTGACCGGGAATTGAACTGTGACCTCCTGGTTCATAGGTTAAGACTCCACCACTGAGCCACAATGGCTGGGCTTTTGGTTCCATTCTTGAAGTACCAAAGGCTTTTAATGCAGTTTCTAGTATTTTTCTGTCGTTATCACATATATTTTTGCTTTTGGGTTTTGAATTTTAAAAAGTTGTAGCAGTATTGATTGACAATTAAATTCCCTGTTTATTAAGTGTATTGTTTTTTCTTTGTCTTCTGTAAAAGTGAAAATGCTCAGACACTACAACAGTTTGGTAACAGAAACACACTTCATGTTATCCTATATAATAAAGAGGTAATATGCAAATTGACCATCACTCCAACACACAAGATGGCCGCCCCCATGTGGACACAAGATGGCCGGCAGGGGAGGGCAGTTGGGGGCGACCAGTTCTGCAAGGGGGGGCAGTTGTGGGCGATTAGGCCTGCAGGGGAGGGCAGTTGGGGGCGACCAGTTCTGCAAGGGAGGGCAGTTGGGAGCGACCAGGCCTTCAGGGGAGGACAGTTGCGGGGGACCAGGCTGGCAGGGGAGCAGTTAGGCGTTGATCAGGCTGGTAGGGGAGCGGTTAGGGGGTGATCAGGCAGGCAGGCAGGTGAGTGGTTGGGAGCCAGCAGTCCCAGATTAGAGAGGGTGCAGGCTGGGCTGAGGGACACCCCTCCACACCCCCCGCACAAATTTCATGTACCGGGCCTCTAGTAAGTGATATAAATTGACATAAAATCTTTCCGTCACATATGTTTTAAACCTCACTTTGGATCTTGAATTATGTAAAAGTTGTTTCGTGTATATTCATTTTATAAAATAATTTTTGTTTATATTTCTTTACAGAAATGTTATGAACAGAAGCAATATAAAAATGGCCTCAAGTTTTGCAAGATGATTCTTTCGAATCCAAAATTTGCTGAACATGGAGGTATTGTCTTACCTGTGAGAGATTGCTTTGGGGAAATCTAATCCTAAAATCAGACAGATAGGATTCCTAACAGTGAAAGAAGAATACTTCCCAGATTCCATGGCCTAGTAGCTCTCTAGTGTATAAATATTTAACATTTTAGTTATATTTCATGTCAGTCTTATTCTAGGTTACTTTACTTCTATTTTGTTTAAGTCCATATACACATATACATATACATATAGAGTGTTTACTATTAGATGAGAGGTTATTGGTTGATTAATTGGGAAACAGTTGGAGTATATGCCAATATTTTTATAGACGTGATTTCATCTATTTGACTAGAACTTAAGTTTACTCTTTGATTTCCTATGTATAAAATTAGGACAATATTTGCAATACAGAAGTAGTATAAAGATACAGTCAAATGCATTTTATTTTTGGTAGATGTCTTTTATATATCTGCTGGCCTTTATATATAAATATGACATTCATCATTAGATTGTTTATCTTGAGTTGTTTTTCTAGCACTGGTATTAATAAGTTTGCATTTGCTTGTCTCATCGTTTTTCACTGGTCACTAGTATTTGTTAAAAGGATAGATGAGGTTAGATACACAAATTAAGGTCCTATAGCAAAGCAAAGTTAACTGAGGTCACTGAATATTAGACTTTGGTAATTCTTGAAATTGTCTTATTGGGAAAATAGGCTGACCCGGCTCTGCTTTCTAATGTTGAAAACATTCTTTGAAGGAAATGGAAAGAAGTCTTCATTTCATAGAATTTTAGAAATTTAAACTTGTTTTCAAACTTTTTCACTACGGAACCATTATCTACTAGTAAGTGGAAGCTTGTAGGGAAGTTCTTTATGTATAAACAGAAAAAAATTGTTTGGTTATAGGAGCTTGGACTGTTCTATCACCATGTTCTGAAAACAAGAATCCACAGACATTAATTTGAAAACAATTGTTCTTATCTGATTCCCTTGTGGATTATTTTTTTGGGGGGATTATTCAGAGAGTTATTTCAATCTAAAGCATCTTTCATTAATTACTTTAAACATATTTTTGGGTTGCCACTCCTGTCATCCAGTGTTGTATCCTTGAAAGGTAAAAGGGTATTAATTAGCCGAATTAGGATTAGTTAGAATAAACTTGCCAACAATGCAGTCTATTCCAGTGTTGAGTAAGGTGATTTTTTTTCTCTTTGTTAAGGTAGATTGTTTTGTGGGGTGTAAGTCAGATTTGGGATTTGATTCTTGATTCGAATTGATCTCAGGTGAAGGGTGGACTGCTGTATAGATTTAGCTCAACAGGATTCAGGTGTCTGCTGTGTTACCTTTTCTCAGCAGAATCATCTCAACCCCCTTTAAAGAGTCTTCTAAAGAGCAGAAAGCATTTTAGCAACTCAGTCCCCACCTAAGGAATTTCAGAAAAGGACGTGGGCTAAACTTTAAGCAAATATTTAAAATGCAGTTTTTGGAGAGAAGTTCTTCTAACTATGGGATTAAAAAGATGAATAATATAAGCATGGCAGGTGTCAAATGTTAAAATAACCCTAAGATAATTTGAATCTTTCATGTGTAAATAGAGGTTAAAAATATTTTTCAGAGACTTTGGCTATGAAAGGCTTAACATTGAACTGTTTAGGAAAAAAAGAAGAAGCATATGAATTTGTTCGTAAAGGACTTCGTAATGATGTCAAGAGTCATGTCTGTATCCTTTTGCAGTGGTTGAGTAGTTTAATTTCATATATATATTTTCAATTTATTAGTGTTTTTTCCTAATTAAAAAATTCAATCCTATGTAGAAGAGAATTTAATGAACTCTATGTACTAATTACTCAGGTTCAATAATTATCAACATTTTGTAGTATTAGTTTATCTGTCCCCTATGCCTCATTTATTGGAGTATTTTAAAGAGAATCTCTATACAGTATGTATGTATTTCAGTTGTGCTTATTGTGAGAGAAGAGTGCTGATAATTATATGTGACTTGAACCTCATTGTTTTTTCTATACATCCATAAACTAGTGATATTTCACATCATTCCAGATAACTTACAAACCTGTATAGTGTAGTAAACCTGTATAGTAAAATTTATGTTCTTTAAACTTTTGTTAAGAAACTTTACAAGAAAAATTCAGAGGAAATTTGTTTTAAAACATTTTATTTAGTATTAAGTGTGATATTATATTGGTTCTTCAGCTTGTTTCATTTGCATAGGGACATAGCTATTTTCACTGATACTCATAATTGTATTTTTCTGTCTAGTATCCAGCTTGTAAAAGAACAAAAATACTTTTTTAAGGTTGGATCATTGAAATTCATTTCTGTTTTGCTTATTTATATATTTATTAATAACCTTTTCACATATTGTCCTGTTTCTTATGTTTTTACATTTAATTCATCTATGGGCCAGTATTGAACATCAATAGTCTTAGTTATGTTTTCACATTTTTAGCTTAGGGTTCTCTCAAAATACTAAATACTTCTTTCTTTTTTTTTTTTTTTTTTTTAATATATTTTATTGATTTTTTACATAGAGGAAGGGAGAGGGATAGAGAGTTAGAAACATCGATGAGCGAGAAACATCGATCAGCTGCCTCTTGCACACCCCCTACTGGGGATGTGCCCACAACCAAGGTACATGCCCTTGACCAGAATTGAACCCAGGACCCTTGAGTCCGATCTCAGTGCTTACTCTCGAGCAAAGAGAGAGGGCGTATAAGTATGGTAGTGGTTTTGGCTCCAAGATATGCTAAGAATTTAATATACAATAAATAAAAATTTAATTTTGTGGTTTTTAATATCATTGGTGAATTAAATGATGGTTACATGTTGTTTTAGAATTGATTGAATATAGACTCGTTTTAAAAGATAATTTTTGTATACTAGTATATTCTGTTTCAATACTAGTACATAGTAAGTGAATGTGCCCAGCACCTAGCTTCAATAATTTAACAGTTGTCAGTCAAGGCTGATCTCATGTTATCTTTTACCACTTGCTCACTGTCCCCTTCCCTCTGACCCCAGGTCATTCTGAAGTAGATCTCAGACAAAAATTCCATTTCGTTAAAGTAAGCTTTATATTAGATAGGTATGTAGCATAGTATTTTCTAGTACCTGTGAATGTCTGTATTTCCTTAACTTAATAGGTTGGCATGTATATGGACTCTTGCAGCGTTCTGATAAGAAATATGATGAAGCTATTAAGTGTTACCGAAATGCCCTGAAATTAGATAAAGATAATCTGCAAATTTTGAGGGATCTCTCTCTATTGCAGATCCAAATGAGAGACCTTGAAGGTTACCGAGTAAGTACTCTAATCTTAAGTGTACACATTTTAACAGATAGATATAATTTAAAACATGTGAATTCAGAATGAAGTGAGTGTAAGCCAAGATCATGTAGATTTGATTGTTCATTATAGTCTAGAAGTGGAAAGTCACTTGAGACCTTCTCCCAATAATAGTTGTAGAACTGCATTATCAACAAGGGATAACTTTATTTAATGCTTTTTTTAAAAAAACTGTACTATCTCCTGTGTACAAATGCTGTACTATATTCTTTGTTGGTTTGACATTTACAAATTTGGTAAAAAGAATGTTTATAATTGAAATCTAAATGTAGAGATTAGTTAGCTTTCTTTGTCATGGGTTAGTAAATATAAAATAATGTGAGGATTGCCATACATCAGTCTTTCTGTAGTCCATACTGGCATCTTCAGCTCTGCTGGACATCTCCATGTGTATCCTAAATTCATTATGTCCAAAACGTAATTCTCTTATTTTCTTTTGTGAAGGAGGCCACCAACTCTTAACACTTCTTAAATAAATTGTCTTTCATGTACTTTTTACTTTTGCCCTTCTGCCATAAGTCATTGTACCCTATGCCTAGATTTTTTACAGAAGTTTAAAGAGCTCTGCTGAGCTTGATATAATCATTCTTCAAGATTGTGTGGTTTTTCTTCAGCAGTACTTAACAGCCTGGGTGTGGTGAGAGTTAACATTAGTTATATTCATGAGGCAAAGAAATTAAGAATATTGGCAACAGAATGGTTCCTAAGAGGGATAGTGAAATTAATGAAAGTAAAAGAGCTGGTGGTTAGAAGTGAAGGACGCAAGGAACTAGAGTTACTAATGGTGTCCTCTTAACCCTACCAGACCGCTGTACTGATTTTTCGGTAATTTCCACACAAAGGTGGAATATTGGCGCTAGATGAAAGGTAGATGAAAGGTACACCTATTTTCTATAATGTCTCCAAGTTCCATCTTATTCTAACCACTTGTTTGCATGTAACTAACATTTTTCTATATCATGTTGGTTTTTTCTCTTTAATGCTCAGGAGCCCAGGTATAGGGGACAGTTAGGTTCAGGGCCTCAGGTCTAGTAGGATTAAGAACAAGGGTAGGAATGTCACTGAGTGAAAATGTTGGCAGCATAGGTGCTGTGGCTGGAGAATGAGATAATTTGTTTTTGTGATTTCTGGGTGGCAAATAGGACAGTGATTTTCAACCTTTTTCATCTCATGGCACTTTTAAACTAATTACTAAAATTCGGTGGCACACCAAAAATATATATTTTTGCTAATCTGATCATAAAAAGATATAATTTTGATTGGTTTGCAAAAATAATAATAATAGTAATTATCTATCCTTTTTACTCCAAAGTGATTTAAAAAAAAATCAGGTGCCTATACTTGTATATAAGGATTTCTGGTACCAAGAATTAACCAATTAGATGCAACCTTATGTGGCATGACCAATAAGATACAACTCTGTTATATGACCTATGTATTATGGTTCAAGACAGGGCATTCACATCAATGGGCTATTGTGTTGACTGTTGTAATTTTTCTATTTGACAATCTTAGCGATTTTCAACCTTTTTCATCTCATTGCACATATAAGCTAATTGCTAAAGTTCTGTGGCACACCAAAAAATAGATTATATTTTTTGCCAATCTGACCAAAAAAAATACGTATACTTTTTATTCATTCACACCAGATGGCTATTGTGTTGGCTGTTTTCTTGTTTTTATTTGACAATCTAAGGGAAAAGAGGTCAGTGCGTCTGACTCCTGACTAAATAGTCAGGTGTTGCATGTTTTAAAAATTCTTGTGGCACACCAGTTGAAAATCCCTGGTCTAGGATGTGGTTGTGGGAGTGGGTCCCTGAAGAGGGGTAGAGGACATCATTAAAGATAAGGAAATTTTAGATGTAAGATAGGTTGTTGGATGGGTGTTCTACGGTTTTCCATTTGCCCAGGATAATGGTAGGATTTGGCAGCGAGAAGAAAACTGACCCAGACTTTAATGAAGGGGTGGAGTAACAGAAGCAATAATGAAAATAAGGAATGAGAGTGATAATAGCATACTATATAATAAAAGGCTAATATACAAATCAACTGAACGGCAGAATGACTGGTTGCTATGACACTCACTGACCACCGGGGGAAGACACTTAATGCAGGAGCTGCTCTCTGGTGGTCCACAGAGGGAGCGCCCCTCAGCCAGAAATTGGGCTCACGGCTGGCAAGCGCAGCGGTGGGCTGGAACCTCTCCTGCCCACTACTGCAGGCAGGTGGTAAGGAATGAGGGGTCCTGGACTGCTAGAGCCCTGGACTGTGAGAGGGATGTCTGCCTGCTGGCTTAGGCCCGATCCCCCCCAGGGGTCTCGGACTGCAAGAGAGGGCGCAGGCCAAGCTGAGGAATGCCCCCCCCAGTGCATGAATGTTGTGCACTGGGCCTCTAGTAATTTTATTTGCCTAAAAGGAACCAGACACTTACACATGAAGGTAGAGGAGTGATACTAAGTTGTTTCGTCAAAGATAATCTACACTAATAAAAGAGAAACATGGTAATTAGCGTACGACCGCTACCCTTCCCATTGGCTAATCAGCATATCCTTATGCAAATTAACTGTCAGCCAAGATGGCAGCCGGCAGCCAAGCACTGAAGCAAGCAGGGAGGCTTGCTTGCTCCAGTGACTGCAGACTCCAACGTTCCCCGCCTG